AGTCCTAATAATGAAAAAAGGTTCATTGTGCAACCTGGGTAACGCGCAGTAACGGGGTGTCTGCAAGGGTAACTGCGTTATAGTTACAGTCAAAGTAATTAGTTAGATTACTCGTTACTAAAACAAGGTAACGGCGTTAGTAACGCCGTTACTTTCAACGCCGTTAGTCCCATCACTGGCAGTCTCAACCAAGACTCTTAGGCTTCCCTCTACACTGACACATCCTCCAGCTCTGCTGAAGGAATACCAAGGCACTCCTAGGCCAGCAAGCCGAGAGACATAATACCTTCAGAGTGTACTGGGTCGTCCTCTGGGCCTCCTTCCGTTGGGACGTGCCTAGAGAACACCCTCCGGTCCCCCTTATTTAAAGGGAAACTACATCAGTATTGGGGAACTGCCCCCCACCACCACCTACGAAGCTAAATAGGCAATTTAGCCAAGACAGCATGGCAACTAAGACCTAAGGTCTCCGGGCGGATCTTGCTCAAGCTGGGTAAAGAACAAATCCAGCCCCAAGCATCCAGTCTCTTCTTCCCTCCCAAAGCTGTGTCAGCCAGATGGATGAGATTCTCAAAGTAGTCCTTCCACTGCCCCATGATGTCCTCATTCAGGGTTTGCCATTCAGTCATCCAGGTCATAGTCATTTCAAAAAATGGAAGTCAAAAACAATCCACTGGCTTTGTTTCCAAGTTTGAAGACATTTCACTTCCCATCCAGGAATCTTTTCAATTAAAATAGTCAGGATTCAAAACTCAACACTATTCCTGACCATTTGAATTGAAAAAGTTTCCTGGATTGCACGGGAAACATCTTCTAATTTGGAAACTAAAATGAATTTTCATTAATTGTGTGTTTATTGTAGACAGTATGAGCTTAACTTTCTGGAATGAGTTATAAAAAAAAGGAAAATGTTTCATAGTGAAATTTCTTTGGTTTTGGTAATTCACTATTAAACATTAAACATTAAAACAGCCTTATGGTGGCAATATGACAACAGCCAAATGACTACTACCGTATTTTCGCGACTATAAGGCGCATATAAACGCCATTTTTTTCCCTCAAAATGTGCGGCGCGCCCTATAGTGCGGTGCGCCCTACGTGTGTTGTTACTGCGGACGTTTGAGACCACAATGAGAACGTTAAAGGGGGAAGTGTGGGCGTGGATTGTGTATAAAAAGAACAGGTATGTGCTTTATGCAGAACTCCTCATCTCCTCATTGAGGAAATGATGAAAGAGTGGCTGAGGGAGGTGTATGTATGGAGACCAGGTGGTTTTTTTTCCACTCATCACTATCGCTGTTAATCTGTGACTCCATGCGTGCCCATCTCACAGC